CTCATGGTTTGTCTCCCCTTCCGATTTCCCCCCCTTCAGTTTTCCCTTCCTGCTATCTTCTTTTTTTTTTTTTCTAAAGGACTGGATTTTTTAAAAGTTTAATTTGTAAGTCACAGAAATTTCATATTTCTATTAGTGAGTGTCAGTGACTGTGACTTGAAAGATTTGATGCCCTTCAAAGACCATAGTTGTCTCCAGGGGAAACAGCAGGGCCTCATTATTATTTCACAAATTCTGCTGTGAAATCCAGAGGACATCACTCAGTTTCACCAAATTATGAAAGCAACTGCATGACCAAACAACTCATCTTTGTATTGCTGTGTCATTTAGATGAACTCTTTCAGACAATAATAGGACACAAGTAATTAGCTGCAGAAAAACAATGTAGAAATATGGTATTGGAGTATTATCTATTCTTAATTCTTTTAAAAGTATAATCATTTTTTATGGCAGTTCATTGCCAAAGAAATACACGTGACAGAAAAAAGAGAAGGTGTTATGAAGTTTGTCTTTTTACAGTGAATTGTGGATTGTGCAAAATAACTAAGTCTTAGTGTTGGTTACTTTCTCATTGGGGTATGGATGAATTAGGGTCAAGATTTTTGAATTTCCTAGACTAATAAAATGTAAAATGCAAAAAAAAAGAAAAGTGGGCAATATATTTAAGATGGCTAAACAAGGACATTAAAAATACTCCTCTCCTGGGGCGCCTGGGTGGCTCAGTCGGTTAAGCATCTGCCTTCAGCTCGGGTCATGATCCCAGGGTCCTGGGATTGAGCCCCACATCGGGCTCCCCACTTTGCAGGAAGCCTGCTTCTCTCTCTCCCACTCGCCCTGCTTGTGTTCCCTCTCTCACTGTGTCTCTCTCTGTCAAATAAATAAATAAAATCTTTAAAAAAAAATACTCCTCTCCTAAGAAAAAAACTGCCAACATCATTTGAATTCTTTTTATTGAGGTAAAAATGTACATAACATGAAATTTGCCATTTTAACCATTTTTAAGTGTATTCAGTGGCATTAATTACTTTCACAGTGTTGAGAAACTACCAAAATTTTTTCATCACTCTGAAGAAAAAGCTAATTCCTTCCTGACATTCCAAACTGGTAGGCAGAGACTCAGTCATCAGCTCCATGATGAGTCATTTGAGAAAACTGTACCAGGTTTAAAAAATGGTTCCTTATTTTTGTGGTATTTGTTGCCACTTGGCGGGTTTGGATGTGTAAGACTCACACTGTGGAAGGTGCTAGTTTCCTGTGGGTAGACAGACTGGTGCTAGGGAGTTTTCATTGGAGCCTTGCTTGCCGGCAGGCATTTTTGCTGCAAATCTTTAGCTGCATAAATAATTGGCCATAAGGGAATTTTGCCATGAAAGATAAGACAAAACACAACAAAACAACTGGTTGCCCATTTGGTTTGATAGTTTGTTGGTTTTGTCAATTGGTGGACAGTTTGGTTTC